GGGCCAAGTTCCTGGACCACAGAAGGAAGGCAGAGCTCTCTTGGGGGTCCTCAGGCATGTGCAGGTACAGCCCAAAGTAGAGAAGAATGTAGAAACAACCTGCCTAGCAGAAAGTAAGACTTCTGTGCACCCATGGTTCAGAATCCTGACCCCACCCAGCAAGAGAGGCCACCAGAGAAACCATAAGATGGGAACGAGGGGACGCCTCTGCGGTACCTGCTCCTGGTGTGCTCTGTGCTCACTTGTCTGCACCTCCAGCAGACTGGGGCGGTGCTACCACAGCTTAGGAAAAGTTTATGGGAAAGCAACACCATTGAGAGGAGTCTAGCTTTTGGCTTGCCCTTGAACTTGACCCTCATCCAGTGGCACAGAAGCCAAGCCCAGCTCCTGGAGGCTGAGTGATGTGAAGGGGGGAGGTGTAAGAACTGACCTTACTTTGTCACCTTACTGACACCAGAGGGGGAGACGTGACCACGAAGCCTCTAGCAGCACCTCCCTCCTGCACCGTCATAACATTGTGCCGGTTGTGGGGGGGAGGTGTAAGAACTGACCTTACTTTGTCACCTTACTGACACCAGAGGGGGAGCCGTGACCACGAAGCCTCTAGCAGCACCTCCCTCCTGCACCGTCATAACATTGTGCCGGTTGTGCTGGTGCCACATGCTAAGTGTGCTGGCTTCATATGCCAATCATGCTGGCTCCATGTGCTAATCGTGCTGGCTCCATGTGCCAGTCCTGCTGGCACTCTTCCTTCCCTTCCCCGGTGCTCCCCTCCCTACCCTGCCCCTGGGGTCTACAAACCCACAGTGCCCCCCGCTTGTGGGAAGCATCTGCAGACACTCTATCCCCGGGGGGCCTCGTTCTGCCTCTGTGCTTCTGTCGCCCGACTCTCCTTACCACTGCATGGGGCTTGTCATCTCTCTCTGGGTGTGTGTTGGGGGTGGGAGTGTCTCAAAGCTCAGACCACTCTAGGGGCTGCAGCAAGTTAGGGGCTTCTCTAGGTCACTCAGGCGCTGCTTTGTGCCTCGCACACAGTGGGCACTCAGTTCACACTCCCTGGTGACAAACAACATTCCCTCTGATGCCTGCCCCAGCTGTGGGCAAGGACAGAGGTGCAGGCCTGCTCTAATGCCCGGCCCGAGGATGTACTTTTTCAGGCTACGGTTTGGAGACAAGTCCATTTATAAATATGAGAGAACCTGCATGTGTACTGTTGATGGCAGTAGTCTCGCCCCACCTTTGTGACTGACCAGCCCTCATGATGTTCTCCCCTGAGGCCCTGCATGTCATTAATGCCGCTCAGTGGACGTCTGGGCTCAGGCCCTGGTGCCACCACGGATGGACTAGCTGTGGGACCTGTGCCAGTTCCTCAACCTTTTGGAGCCTCAAAGCGGCTAGTGGAGGTCCTGGGTGGGCACTTAATATGGCACCTGGCACACAGGCGCGGCCCAAGCACCAGGAGTAAATTTAGAGGCCAGTAGCACGTAGGAGATTTATTTACTAATTTGTCCACTCTTGAGTGCCACTGTTTCAAGGTTAGGAGATGCACAGCATGACCAGAACATGCAGCTACTTAACGGCTTGATCGTATCATTCGTACCAGCAGCAGTGACACCCGCTTACATGCCAGATTCTCATCTAAGGCCTTCTCACGTCACCTGCACTCCCCACAGCAACCCCAGAGTAACTGCCTTCATGTCCTCCTTTTACAGAGGAGGAAACCGAGGCACAGTGTTTACCCATGTGCCTATTGTGGACCTAGTGTTGCACAAACCATTTTGGGGGACATTGAGACGTGTGAAGCACTCGCTTTGGGGACATTGCCTTGCTGAGGAAGAGGCAGAGATGCCCAGTGCCGGACACGCTCTGGTCTGCAGGCTGGCCAGCAGTGACAAGTGCTGTCCCCTGAAGGGAAAACCAAGGCAACTGGAACCTACAGGGCAAGCCCAATGCCTCTCACCTCCCCCTGAAGGAATATAAGTGTCCTGGTGAGTTTTTAAACGCTTCCTTTAGAAACGGACATGGTGACAAATGACACCACAGGAAATGTGAGAGTTAATGTGCAGCCCACCAGGGAAGGTGGTGGCTCTGGTGCAGAAAATTGGAAATGGCCAAGTAAGGAAATGTCTTCCTTGATTTAGGAGAGCTTTGGGTTTTCTTGACAAGAGGCAGTGAACAAAAAGACCTATCTGGAAAATCAGTGTTTGTGGTATGTCCCGTTCTCCTGTCTTAGAAAACTCAGCAGAGGAGGGCCCACCTCTTCTCAGACCTGTGAGCCACATCTGGATTAACATCGGGCCACTGGGATGGGGTGTGGGCCCATTACCTTTCATGCGAGCATTAAATCCCCAGCGTGCTTTCTTGCCATCAGCATGCTCCTGACTGCCCCTGTGAGGGACCGCACAAGGCCTAAGGACCCTGCGTTAGCACACCCCAAAAGCCCACGTCACATGCAAACTTAACATTCTGGGCAGGGGCCCCAGCACTGACCCCGCAGACCAAGAGACCCCATCCTCTTCTCCTCCTGCAGCCAGAAGGCCTTCTGTTGGGGTGTCAGCGGCAGGGTGATGCCCCCGTTATTGTACATGGTGCAGTAACAAATCACCTGTTCAAAGGCCCCCTTCATGAAGTAAACATCTTCCTGATCCTTGGAAAAGACAAAAGGGAAAAATAAACTGTCACTGGACGCCTNTAAACATCTTCCTGATCCTTGGAAAAGACAAAAGGGAAAAATAAACTGTCACTGGACGCCTCTGTTTGCAGTGACCATCACCTCATTCTGCACAAGGATACGAAGACATGCACAGGAGTTATTCATGGCGGACTGCTGCTGTTCATGGATACAGGACAGTTAGGCGAGTTGAGTTCGTCCAACAGGATACTATACTACACAGGCCATAAAGAGAACGAGGTCCACCTTTAACCCGCACCATCTCCATTCTACATTAAGTTCCCCTGTTAATGTCACTCACAGCATCCTGGTTGTTTCACTAATCAGAGGTATCCCAGGTGCTGCACCTGTAGGTGTGTGGCTGCCTGCGGAA